TTAACTACGATATCAACTGAAAGATACATGTAAATTACTAAGCAATTAAGAAACAGATTTCTGATTAAGTAACATTGCCAATGCACAAGGAACTCATTTATTCATTTGTTTATTTGTCATATTTAGAAGGGGTATGATGATCTGCAGACAATCGTACCAACTTGCCACCAGCCAAACACAGCAACAGCTATGCAAAAGCTAAGTAAGGCCATCATCCTTCAGAAATGTAAGTAAGACAAGACCCAACAATTATTATAAGTTGTGAGACCACAGACACAGTGAAGCTTGAATAGCATCACGTCAACTTATTTCAAGCCACAGAAGGTGGATCATGCAACTACCGTAAAGACATACTTAACTGATGGTACATGTTCAACCTGTCACAGGTGTTGCAGTACTGTCTTAGGTTTTACTACCGGTCAGAGATGTTAATTTAGGCAAGAGAGTTAATCCCTTATAAAAGCCTTCTTCCCAATGTAATTCTTCTTTAGTTAATTTTAGATCACTCCCGGTTTTGGAAATTCCCAGAGTGTCTAGAAATAGCCAATCCTGTGTTGCAGATTTTTCTCACATGGACATCCTGAGTGGCTTTCTAAATACATTATTGTTATCTTCCATGTTAACATCCATGTTGTACATGTGGTAACATTATCCATGGAAGATCTCTGTAGCATGTCTATCTGTTATGTTTATTGTATGCTGTGTTTCCCTTTCAGCCATTGAGTACATCATATTCCTACATCAGCAGAGGAAGAAACAAGAAGAGGAGTTAGAGGCACTCAGAAAAGAAGTGATGGCTCTAAAAATCATGAAGACGTAAGACTGTCTTTGTCTTTGATTTCTTGTAGCAATTGTAGCACATTTCCTATAATGTAGGCTATTTTTAAGTCTGAAATTCATGTTACATCAAGGGAAAGTTTGCCATAAGTTCTTTCCTGTTTTCTTGACAGTGCCTAAATTGATAGCCCATTTCTGAGTTGACTTAAGCTTCTCTATCAAAACAAGGCCTGGTGCACTACCATTCATCTGAAAATGAGTTTAATTTGCATGTGAATTAACCTCATTTTCATATGAAAGGAGGGCACCAAGACTTGGTTTGAGAAAGAAGCTTTTAAAGACAATTCAGAAATGGCATATTATATTAACTGACACTGCCGGATGTAAAGTTAAATAAAATGTAATATGCAATTTTTGTTGCTGTTGTTACAAAGAAAGTACTGAAAATTTAAACTACCTAGCTATTTTTCATGAAGTTGAAGGTGATATTAACTGCCATAGTGAGTTTGCAATGCTCACATTTCAAGCAATTGTCCTTTGTCAAAGCAAAGTCAAACAGTAGCTGGTCCCCTACTACACTGTAGCTGATCCCTTCCAATAGCTGATCCTTGTTACTGTAGGAAGCTACATGTAGCTTACAGTCACGTAGTCCTGTTTCCTCTTAAATCTCAGATTTGTGAAACAAGACTCTTTGGAGAATATTGGCATTCTCAAGAGAACCAAACAAAATAGCAATCATTAAAATATTAAATATTGGTGGATCTATTAAGTCAATGGGGCATTTTTCTTTATTCTCAGGAATTATGAGCAAATAGCCAAAGCACATCAGAATCAGGTACAAATTATGTTTTTGTTTAATATTCTGTCCGGCTTCATGGTACTGGTTTGACACTGATCACACTTATTAAGCAACCTGTTCTCTACATTCCAAACTACAATGAATGCATTCTTGTGATTTAAGATCAAAAAGCAGCATTTGTGGAGTGATTTATTTGTTTAATTGGTGGGGGAACAAAAACCACCATCTGGTCATCTTCATGTACAGTAATGATTACAGTTAATGTTTTTGTTAAACTTTTGTAAAACTTTCTCTTTGGTAATTTATTAGTTGTATTTCTCCTCAAAACAAAAACATACTTTAGAACTGTTAAGGTTTTATTCGGATTGGAAATGACACAACCTTTTGTACTAAAGAAAAATACATTGTATTGTAAAACTCCAAGCCTTAGTTCTTAATGGATTAGTAAGTAGTTTTCCTGATTAATTACCGTCCAATGTTGTTGTTGTTGTTGTTGTTTACAGCCAGCACAAGGGCAGAAGCAAGTACCAGATCAGGCCAAATTTAGTGTGGTAAGTAGTGACAGCCACTATCATGTTTTTACATGGCAGGGTCCTACTGGTAGATCCCCCAAGCTAGCTGTTAATGCTACAGTGTGATTTTGCTGGGCAGGCTGAGTTTCCTGTATATTGGTAGAACAACGCATCTAGCTGTGATGACCTTAGTAATATGGATGAATTTGGAGTAGATATCAAATTCTTTGAAGGCTAATTGTCTATTTTCCTTTCTCAGTTCCGTCAGATCATGGAGACCCAGTTCATATCATTCAATGCATCAGTCAATGTCACCAATTTTGAAGCCCTGTCAGCTTGCATATTCAGCTGGCTTGAAGAATACTGCAAACCTCAGGTAAGTGGTCTTTACTATCTATGTGGGCTTTACTACATTGTATCATACAGTCCTACAATGTGCACAGCATTCACTAGGTAAAAGTATTGTCCTGTGCAGAAAAGATACAATCATTGCTTTATGGTACATGTAAACGTTGGTTACTTGGGAAATTTTAATACATGTACTTTTAAGAAGTACCAGAATAAAAAATCATTAAAAGAAATAAGTACCTTCCCAAGCTTGGTTTTCCACTAGGTTGTGCTTCACAGAATTTAAAAATGCCTGCATATGTTTCCAACACTACACATTTAATTCAGCACTGCACTTGTAAGAGGCAAGTTGCTTCTGACACACAGCTAGGAGCCATGCCAAACCAAACCACGCAACGTGACCTTTATTAACGTAACAACATAACTGTCTCACAACAGTACTAAAAAAGTGGCTAGAGAATAAATTCACTGAAACTTAATAGACTCTAAAAATACTTCACAGGTGGGTGGGCATGTCAGGCTATGGCAGATGATGAAACAAAAACTGAACGTTGCACAAGCCACATGACCTGAAACCCTTGATACAATTGTACTCAGACTCCTAGCCGTGTGTGAGAAAAAAGTTGCCCACTTCATTCATTCCTCAACCAGCGGAAAATCACACTTCTGTTATAGTTTCACATGTATATAGTCTCCTGATTACTTATTTGGTGTTTTTCTTTCTCCTTTTATTATCTTAGTATCTGCAAGAGATAGTGATTAACGCTCTCAAAAGTCTGAACAGCCAGGGGTTACTGCAGCAGCAATAAGTTTAAAAGTATTTGACAGCTTCCCAAAGGAGGAATCCAGGTATTTGGAACACCAGTCTGTAGTGGCATTATATTTTGGCATTTATATCTATATTGGAGCTGACATCTTGACTGAGCTTCTTTACTGTATACATACAGGCGTAATGTAGAAGATAGACTTGCCCATAAGCTACATGGGAAGGACAGTCTTAGAGGAATGCAGTTTATCTAAGTATATTTTTTTGCAGATAGAAGGCTACTATTTTTTTTCAACCAATCATAGTAGTTAGGGAAGGCAAAGAACAACCTAAACAGTTAACTAGAAATTGCCAAGTTTTTCCAGGTTCTTGAGTATACCACACTGTAAATATTTTATCTGTGTACATGTAAATAACACTGTGATCATTATATAACAAGAGAATAAAGGATTATGTTAGAAATATCAATAACGAGTATGATAGATATGTTGAAGTCAGGGGGGGATCTGGTGTTTTCAGTATTGTTGCCTCACAGTATTGTTCACACTCTACCCCTGCCTCTCAAAAAAAAAAAAAAAATGACAGATAGCTCAAAATCCATTCCCATTGCAGTGCCTGTGAACAAAGAAGTATTCAATTAATGCACAGTTCATAGGCCTGGCCCCAGTGGATTGTGCATTCTGTCGCTAACTTGCTCGATGGGCAAGTGAAGTTCCTTGCCTAATGACAAAAGTATGGTGAAGATTTTCGGCCTAGCACATCATAGTCAGAGCTCTCCCAAAGTGGAGCCCCATAATGTGGTTTCATTGTACCCCGATGTTGTGGTAAAGATGTAGCCAGCTGACTAGCATGGAAAAGAGAGGGAAGATAAGTGTGTTATGGGTAGCTTTACAAATCTAGCCTCCTATGCAGATGTTTCAGTAATAATTTTATGGAATTTTTTTGCAATCTTTGAAGATTGCATCAAGAGCCAAAGAAAATCTTTGTAGGT